TCCAGCAGGGCTACAGCCATCCAGTTGGCGCTGCAGTTTGTCAGGCAAGGTGTAAGATGATACCTTTGCAGCGGGCAGCACGTTGCCCTGGAAGCGCGCCAAGAAAATCATCTTGTGCTGATACGCATCTATCAGCAACGCAGCAGCGCCGTGTGAGCACTTGTTGCACTCGAAGCTAGCGGGCCGTGGGAGACCAAACTTTGCAGCCAAGTTGAAAGCATCGGTCTTGGCTTTGCAATCCACGCGCAAGTCACACACAGATCTGCCAGCGCGAGCAACTTGCCACTGGCCCCCTAGCGCTGACACTTTGAAATCATTCTTGTCCAGGGTTTCTGCCAGAGTCTCTTGCTCCTCCTTGTCCCGAGCTGCGGCAGCCATAATGTCTGCATATCGCGCTTCAGCGTCCGCAGCTGCGCGCTCCACCACTTCAGCGTCATCAAGCTCCTGGGGGGACTGGGCTGCTTTCGTCAACGCTTCCTTGTCATAGGCTTTGCGCGCCTTCATCATCAAACTGTCCAACGCTTGGCATGGAGCTTCATCACCTGCTTTTTCGCACACGGCCTAGTTCCCGCCGCTTTGTGATCATTGGCTGACGTCAGTTTTCCGTGGCGTCGCGGAAAAGAGCTGCCGGCCTCCCACTCTGCCAAACCATCTTTGAAACATCGAGGCCAGGCGCCTCTTCAGCTTGACAGCCCTGCTCTGTCCAGTGCGGAGGGATGGCGTTTGCGGCACAATGCAAAAAATGCACGCCGGACCATGGTTTTTAGCTCAGCATGGTACTTTTTTCAACTGCGCCTGAGGCATGATTGGTCCAAGAGCACTCCTAGCAGTTCCAAGGTTTGCTGCAGCTTCGGCAACAACTCCTCAGCTTCCAAGTGAAACTTGAGCTTTTGGGGTCACCAGGTCACTTGCATCTTCCCACGCACGGGACAGACTGGAGCTCATCCGTGCCCAAGTCACTCCGCTTCTGAAAAGCCTGGAACGAAGTCAATGGTCTGGCACTAACCAACTTGCAAGACCAGCAACGCATGCGCTCAAGCAGGCGCGCAGTGCTGCCAGGGCCACAAAGGCATTCGTCAAGAATTGTGCGTTTTCATGCTGCTGAGGCTGCGCCCACTTAACGGCAGTCGTGGGCTGCGCAGCGCAACATGGTGTGGGCTTCATAACCCACTCTGTCCTGACTCAGTTGCCCCCGAGCTATCTATGCAGCGAGTCAAGCGAGAAGGCCAAAGGCCGGAACATAATGCCGACATCTGCAGAAACTCCTCTGTCCACAACAATGTGGCGCAGCCTGTAGTGGGATCAAGAGCCTGGGGCTCCGAGCAAGCCAGGGCAGTTGTGAGCAAAAGCTGCGTCTTCTTGCCGTGCTCTACTGGGCCATGCAACAAGCAACGCTGATCCTTTCCCCCACCCAGCGAAGCTGAAACAAAGACCTGCTGGACGAGCACATTCCCAGCTTGCGCCAACGCCCTGCGGGACTTCACCGCGGGTCTTTGGCGCTATGTGGCGCCGCGTTGTCAGCTTTGTTGTATCCTGGCTGTACTGCGCAAGGAAAGAGCTGCCATCATGTTCATTCAAAAATGAGTGTAGGATCTCCAGCTGTAGCGCTGCGACGCAGTATGCCCAGCACCCCAACTCGACAAGCTCAGGGCCATTCAGCGAAGGAGAAGCTGAACATTGAACCTTTCCCCGGCTAAGCGCATCATGTTATCTACACTTGCGTTTTGCAGTTTCTTGGCTATACTAGCTGCACAGGCGCTCGTGGGGCATGGGCATGCGTCAACAGCCAATTACATGCGCACGCAGATCGGCGACAGCACTTCCCTTGAACATGCACGAAATCAAAAACATCCACTCTGCCAGTGTGTGGCCATAACATCTGGGCCCTCGTACCTCGTAGTCTTCCCGCAGCTTTCAGCAGTCTTCCCGTAATCTTTTAGTGTTCCCGTGGTCTTCCCGTAGACTTCCCGTAGTCTTCCCGCAGCCCGTGCGCCGAGCCCAGATGCGTCTTCCCGGCACGGCAGAACCGTCTTCCCGCAGTCTTTCGGCAGTCTTCCCGTAGTCTTCCCTCATGGGCCGGGAACCCTACTTGAATGGGCGGCCTACTTGCTATGTAGTTGGCGAACTTAAGCGACTTGCTAAGCCACTTGCAAGTTGCCTAACTTGAGTTAATAAGTTCGCTAAGTCTGACCTAGCGGACGTACAACCTGGCTAAGTCCACTTGGCGAATTAGAGGACGACTTCGCTAGTTACTTAGATCTACTGAGCATCTGCTTAGCTAAGTCCTCCAACTCGCCAAGTGGACTTAGCCAGGTTGAAAATCCCTGATCGGACTTACTAACTCAAGTTAGGCGACTTGCTTAAGTTAGGCGACTTTGCCAGCGGCGTATCAGACCGCCCAAGGTCCCCAATTACATTGCAAGTAGGCCGCCCATCCAAGTACACACCCTTTGCCTGCAAAGGTCAATTACGACGCGTCTGCGCATCACTTCGAAGGTGACGTTGCAAGTAAACGCTTTTCCCCGAGCCCACAAAACGCATCTGGGCCTCACCGCGGGCCAAAACGCGGGCCAAAAAGACGGGAAGACTACGGGCAGATTACGTCGCGATCAGATGCTTTTCTTGGCTTTCTACCTACAACACTGTTATTGCAGGAGCTTGCAGAAAACAAGGCTTTTTAAACTAAGCAGGGATGCTGCAGCTGCCCCTGGTGGAGAAACGAGCTTGGTGAATCTAAGGATGTTGCAGGTACTGCGAAGGATGTTGTCGCTCTGCTTGGGGTGGCTCATTTTCTCTTGCCAGCTGTGAAACAAAGGAGCCTAGCGAAGCTAAGGATGTTGCCGCTGCCTGAAGTGGCTCATTTTCTTTTGCCAGCTGTCAAGAAAATGAGCTTGGTGAGGCTGAGGATGTTGCAGGTAATGCCGAGGATGTTGCTGCGCTGCCTGCGGTGGCTCATTTTCTTTTGCCAGCTGTCGAAAAATGAGCCTTGTCAGGCTAAGGATGTTGTAGTTGATGCCCAGGATGCTAAACAGATGATGATGATTATTATGATGAGGACAACTATCATCATAGATTTCTTTGCATCGCCATCATGCCGAGAACAACTATCATCGTAGCATCCTTTGCATTACCATCATGATGATGACAGCTACCCTTAGCAATGCCAGGGCCGAACGTCAGTATTGAAACGTGCGTAGATGATGCTGATGAGGATGATTATGACCATCGTGATGATGATCACAATCGCCATAGCGCCCTTGGCATTACCATCATGATGACAGCTATCATCGTAGCATCCTTTGCGTTCCATCATGAGTATGACAGTATTGAAACCTATATCTAAGAAAGGAAAGAGATGATGGTCGTAGTGGTGGTGAGGAGGATGATTCTGACCACCAGGCAGTGTCTAACGTCTGCATTGACATGTAGAAAGGAGAACCAGAAGATGGTGATCAGGATGATGGTGATGAGGACGTTTAGTACCATCATCATGATGATAGCTATCGCGACCCCTTTGCGCTGTGACACGGCAATCGCCATGGTAGCAAAAGAGATGATGGTCATGATGATGGTGGTGATGGTGATGATGGTGATGACCCCATGATGACGATGATACCTATCAGCGAAGCACCTTTTGCCTTACCATCATGACGATGAGAACTATCATCATAGCAGTCCATGCCTTACTATCACGGTGATCATAACTATCACCGTCGCATGCTTGCATGACCTTCAATGTCTATCATCAGTGTTGAAGTGTGTGTGTGTGAGAGAAGAAAGAGATGGTCGTGATGATGGTGAGGAGGAGGATGATGACCACCAGGGTGATGAGAAATGTCACCGTAGCATCCTTTGCATTACCGTCATGATGATGTTAACCATCATCATAGTGCCCTTTGCGTTACCAAAAGGACGATGATAATTATCACTATGGCATCCTGCGCATGATGATAACTATCATCATAGCATCTTAGCATGACCATCAGTGTCTAACGTCAGTCTTGATATGTTTATATAAGAAAAGAATAGGGTGTTGGTCATGATGATGGCGAGAAAGATGATGATCACCATGCTAGTTACTACCTTAGCATCCTTAGCATTACCAACAGTGTCTAATGTGAGTATTGAAATGTGTGTGTAAGAGGAATAGAGAGCATGATGATGCTGATGAGGATGATGAGCACCAGCAGGATGATAATTACTGTCATCATAGCATCCGTACGACACGAATAGCGTTAGGGCCATGATGATGAGGGTGATGATGATGATGCTGATGTGGATGATGGGCGCCATCATGATGATGAAAACGATCATCATAGCATCCTCAGCATTACCACTATAATGATGTAGCTACCACTATAGCATCGTTAGCATTTCCTTCAATGTCTAACGTCAGTATTGAAATGTATTTGTGAGAGAAGAACAGGGTGATAATCATGGTGATGGAGGTTGATGATGACCATCATGATGATGTTAACTATCATCATAGCACCCTTTGCGTTACCACCATGGTGGTGCTAACTATCAGTGGCAAAATAGACGATGAAGTATCGTCATCGCGTGTGCAAGAATATAACACTTTTAAAAAGGAAAGTTTCCTGTGAAGTAGGAATAAGAACATGGCTACTGTAAAACACATGAACACAAGAGTAAAATAGTATAAGGCTATATTTTTCATGATGACCCTTCCTGTGCGCCTCCCCTCTTGCGCGAGGAGTCGGCGGATATAGCGTAAAATCCGCTCGAAGATCAGCTTGTGGCTGTGGCCACGCGAGCCCCGTTTGCCAATGTTAATTTTTCCGCTATGCTGCGATGGGCATGCGGGGTGCGCCCTGGATGAGCCGCACCTGCGACACCTTGTGTTTTTGCGCGACATTTCAATAGACAGCAACTCATGGTCTAAATCTACTCAGGTTGTGAAGTGTGCAACATTCGCAGATGGAGCTCCATCATCAATGTGGCCTTCTGCATAAGTACCATCGCTTCTGTCTCGCACCTAGGCCCGGGTCTTTCTACCCGCAGGGCGCTCAGGCGCTCTGCATTCCGTCACGTGACGTGGCGACAGACAATTTGAGCGCCGGCCAGAAACCTTGTACAGCTATTGTGACTGTGGCATGCGCTTTTGGCATTGCACTATTATTGTATGAGGCAGAAGTAGGGTAGCGCAGCTCGGCGCTAGCATTTTGATGGGCGTACCTGCCATCAAGATAAGAGAAACGTCATTCGTATGTGCTGCAGCCGGTCTTGGTCAGAACCATGTCTGCTCCGATAACTTGTTTCGTGAGGGGATTGCATGGCCACTGTTCCAGAACACCCCGGGCGGATTTTGCACTAGCAGCTTTTGTTTACATGCATATATGGTCCAACCCCCCAAGCCCCCCTCCCCAATCCCCCCTTCCGCATGTGGCATGGCGGGTGGGGCTGGCTGGTGTTAGTTTAAGGCAAGGTTAGGGTAGGGATGGTTTGGGGTTGGTTTACGGTCGGCTTGGGGTTGGATGTTTTTGGGAACTCCCTGCCCGCTCTGGAGGGAGACCTAGACTGGGGGCGGGGATAGCAGGATGGACGGGAACAATTGTTAAAGTGGAACTGACTGTGTAAACACCTGATGACCTAAACGTGTCAAACCTGTGATGTGACAGCTCGGCTCAAGGCCTTGATTGCACAAGCAGCATTCCAGATGTATTGGGATGCAGGTATCTTAACACGCCTTCTCAGGATAATGTATCTCATGTACATTCTCCTGAACTGTTGAAAAAGATGATGTGGCTGCTGTACACAGAGTGCGTGGCTGTGCAAACCCCTTGTGGTTCGTGGTGTCAAAAGCGAGAAGCAGCTGCTGTTTCAAACAGATGTTGTACCAAGCTATTCGACTGTGCCACTCAAGTGCGGAAAATGTATCGCCTCAAAACTGCTGTTGTATGAACCATGATGTTCACACATTCCTCGGCCTCTTCGCAGTTGTTGTTGTAACTGCATCCATGGTTGTAGCCTGTGTGATGAGCTCCTCCCTGTACTTGTTCATCGTGTTGATGTACTCCGTGTAGAACTCCTGATTCTGCATGTAGCACCAGGTGTGATGATCCTGGTGGCCCCTGATGCGCTCGATGTCCTTGATTGCTTGTGTCCGAACAGACACATTGCCTGATGTCTGCAGGTGATGTAACACCGCGCCGTGATGCTCTGTGCTGATGTATTTGAGGAGCTGTCGGCCAGTGTATTCCATGACCTGTGTCATGGCAGCATGAATTGTGTCATCATCTGCTTGTAGTGGTGCTGAAGGTGGAGGATCTGATGCCCCCTGTTGAATGTACTCATCTGACCCTTGCTGAGCCTGGCAATCAAGTGTCTGATGTTCGGCTGAAAGCCAATGATGTGCAGCTTGTCCAGCTGCGCGGATGCGATCTTGCGTTCGCTGAAGAGGTAGAGCAATGTTGCAAGGGAGTCAAACGGACAGGTGTTGTAAATCATGTGCTCCCACGGCGGCTTCCTCATGTTGGCCTGAAGCCCTGTGTAGTCGCTCCCAAACTGATGTACCCCTCGACTGCCAAGGCGAGCGCAAGACGTTGTTTGTGTCTGCAGTCTTGTTGATGTGCCAGGCCATGATGTTGTGTGCGCCTCCTTACTGTTGACGCATCTGATGTTGTAAAATCCCACTGATGTGAGCGATGTAGACAACTGCGTGTCGGAACGCTTTCCGGCGTGCTCATCCGATGTAACAAGAGCGGTCAAGGCCTGCGTGTCCATGGTCTTATGTGTCAGAAAGAATGTATCTCACTGATGTAAAAGGGTAAAGGCTGCGGAATGTGACAAATCAATGTCCCACATGTGTTTTGCAGAAAACGATTGTAAGAGGGGTTGTAACACTGTGGTCATAAAGACAGGGTCGATCCATGGCTGATGTATCTACCCTAAAAGATTGTAACTGTGCCGGCTGTTAAGTGGTAAAACAAACATGTGTGAACTGTGCACCTGTTGTTTAACAACCTGTGCTGACTACTGTACTCACTGGTGTGAAACTGTTGTGGTGTGGCCTCACAGTTGTACAGGTGTTTGTTGAGTGTGTCGCTGCCAACGAACTTGGTAAGAATGTCGGCTGTGTTGTCTTCTGACTCTACCTCGTGCATGGTGATGATTTTGCTCTTGACAAGTTGTTGTATGAAGAGGTGTCGCAGCTCAATGTGCTTTGCTTTCTTTGTTGCTATTAACGTTTCTACGCTGCTGTCTGTGTGTGTCCGGATGTTAGTGCGTACTTCAAATGCTTCCTTGATGAAGTTGCTGATGTAGAGGCTCTCCTGTGCTGCTGTACTAATCGCACACATCTCTGATTCTGCTGATGAAAGTGCTATTGTTGCTTGTGTTCTGCTGCCATAATGTACTGCTGCTCCAAAGAAGCACAGTACAAATCCTTCTGTGCTTTTCCTTGTTGTCTCACACGATGCCCAGTTGGCATCTGTGTATGTGTCAATGTTGAGTGGAGTTCGTTTGTCCTGTGTTTGTATCTTTGGTCGCAGGTTGTGTCGCGAGTACCTTGTCCCTTTAAGGTACCTGATCATGTGCTTGAGTTTCTTGTTGTCAAGTTGTGTTGGTGCTTGTAGTGATCTTGCTAGCTCCTTTACCCCATAGCTGATGTCTGGTCTTGTGTATGCTAGGCATTGTATCTTGCCAAGAAGCCGCCTGTATTTCTTGTGTTGTTCTTGGTCTAGTGGTGCTTCATCTTCTGCTGTGCCTTTCATGTGTGGTACTCCTGGTGATGGTGCTGGGTGGCATGTAGTCGTTCCTGATTCTTCCAGAATGATGTCAACATAATTGTTGTTCAAGCTGATGTCAATGTGGTCGCCTGTGTGTGAAATGTTCCTGCCAAGGAAATGTATTGTTGATCCAACTGTTAGGTCACCAGTGTGGTTCTGTGTAGCCCTTTGCTACTATGCGTGCTCGCACTTCGTCGTGTTTCGATTTGAGAACCCATCTAGACTCGATAGGTGATGTTGGTTCTGTTGTTCTTTTCTGCTTTGTTGGCTGGTCTCCTGCTTCTGGTGCGCTCTGTCTCTTGCCTTCTGCTGCTGTGCTAGTTGTTGCGTCTTTCTGTGATGGTGGTGCCTTGCTTGTAGCTGGCATTGTCAATGGTGTTGCGAGAGTTGGTGTGTGCAATGCTGATGCTGGTGTCTTCCATGCACCTGTGTGTACACAGTCCACTAGTTGCTGATTGTATTTGTGAGGCATAATCTGCCTTCTGATTGTCCTTGCTCTGACATTTTTGTTGTAGATCCCAAGAAAGGATTCGCCTGCGGTTGTATCTTTGCCAAGCCAGATCCCGTTGTAGAATCTCGGCTCGGGTTTTGGGAATTGTTTCATTGTTGGTAGCATGTGTTGCACTGTCTCCCAAACTCGCAAAGTGGTGTATGTTGCTCTCTGTTCCATCTGTTGAAGTAGCTTGTGCATCCATTGCTATGAACTGCATATCTGTTCACGATGTATGCACTGTGTCGAACTATCCAAGGCATGAGTGGATGTTTCATTGAAATGTCTCTGTTGTAGTTTTGTCTGATCTGTGCCTTGAGTGTTCTGATTTGTGCAAACAATGTTCTGTGTGATCTCTCTACTCCTCCTTGTGATTGTGAGCTGTATGCTCCTGAGTTCCTTGTGGTGGTGTTGCCATTCTTGTTGGCCACTGCTGTTGTGAGCGCTGTCAGGAAGTCTTCCTGATCTGATTGTAGTATCGTGTGTGTTGTCCTTCCGCATTCAATGAGGAAGTGCTGTAGCTGTGTGACTGCGTAGTCGAAGATGGATGTCAATTGCTGTGAGAATTGGGTGTACATTGCTATCATCAAAGCCTTTGATGTAGGATGGTTGTTTTGTCTGCCTCTTGCTTGTACGCATCTTGGACACCTGCTCGAGTATCTCCTTTTGTGTTGGTTGCTTGGGTGCTTGTGCTGCTTTGCTTTTGTACCTGGTTGTTGTTCCTCATCATCTGACCCCAGTTGTGTTGGGAACTCCTGATGTCCCTCAAAGTTTGTCCAGCCTGTCCAAGGCTTGTCTGATGTCTTTGCTGGCTGTGTTGTCCATTTATCTTCTATCAGTCTTGTGTGTTGTCTTTCTCCTCCAACTGGTTGTGCCTTGGTAGAAGGTATGAGTCGCTTTATGCCTGGCCCGTCGTGTATCTGCTCTGGTACGTAAAACGCTGTTCTAGGCTCAACATGTACTCTCTTTCAGTATGGGCCTTCTCTGTACCAGTAGTCTCCTCCAGGATGTACTTCTGAAGGATGTGGAATTCCTTGTCCAGCTGCACCTTTGGTGGTGTTTGGTGCTGCTGACTCCTGTAGTGTTGGTGGTGTTGTTTTCTCTCTCAACCTTGTTCGTGGGTTGTAGTGAATCACTTGTGGTGTGATCCTCTGTGGCTCGCTCTTTGGCTGTGTCTTTGTTGTAAACTGTTGCTGTAGCGTTTTTTGCAACTTTGTGCCTTTCTTGATCCTGAAGGCTGTCTCGCCTTTCCACATCTGTGGTTGTGCTTTGTTTGAACCCTCTGTTGTTTGATGCTTGTCCTCAAATGTATTCGTTGTGCCGTCCTTGGGCCTGATGGTTGTTCTCCTGTAATCTTCTAGTTGTTCTGCTGGAACTGGACACTGTGTTCTTGATGGTGTGAAAAGTGTCTTCCTGAATTGTCTGTGTACTCCAACAAGTTCTCCTTGTGTGTTGAACTGCCAGTAGTCTCCTGCATATCCTGTGTCTGCAGGACCTTGTGGTGTAAGCGTTGTGGTTGGTGCTATCATGCCAATCTGTCCTTGTTCTGTGTTGTGTGTCTGTAGCTTTGTTCCTTTTGGCAATGTTGTGATTTCTGCTTGTAGGAAGAACAGGCCATTTCTGTTCTCCAATGTGCTGTTGAAGCCTTTGATGCGCTGTAGTCTTGGATTGTCATCCAGTGTAAGTTGGAAACCTTGTTCCACCAGCCTTGTAACCGAAAGGATTGGCTGTTTAACATCACAAACATAAACTAGTGTAACAATCTGTTGTTTGCTGTGGTTTGTCACGGAAACCCATCTGCGCCCGTGAAGCTTGATGTGCTGGTTGGTCACTGTTCGCAGTTGTGGTAATGGAAATTGTGATGCAAACCATAGTGGGCATACATGCGTAGCCGCACCACTGTCAATCATGAGATTGACCCATTTGTTGTCTTCTTGCGGTTGTTGCGTTGTGCCAACCATGGCGATGGAGTTTCATGTAATCCTGAGACAGGCACTACTGATGGATCTGCTACCTGTGGAGGTTGGTGCATCTGTGACTGATCCTGATAGTACCAGTTGTTGTCGTAGTGTGCCTGGTTGTACCAGTCATCTGTCTGGTCGTTGGTGTCGAAGGCTCCTGTGTCACAGTTGTAGATCGCCACTCTGCATTGCTGGGCCACGTGTCCTGGTTGTCCACATTTGTAGCAAATGTGAGTTGCTTGTTTTCCTTTTGCTCCTGTTCCTCCTTGATGTAGTATCCTTTTCCTTTTCCTTTGTTGTTGTCTCCTTTCCCTTTGCCATATCCATTTTGTCCTTTGAATGGATTTCCTTGTCCAACCGGTTGTTGAGTGTACTTGCCTTTTCCTCCTTTGTAATTGTTGTTGCTGTAGTTGTTCCCGTAGTTCCCGTAGCCTTTGCCTTTGTGCTTGCCCTTCTTTCCTTTTCCTTTGTTGTACCATGTTGCTCCTATGTCCATCGGTGCTGGTCCTTGATTGTTGCTGCCTGTTGTGATTGCTTGTAGCCTGGTGAATGATGCTGTTGCTCTGTAGTAGTCGATCACCATTGTTGTCTCATTGAGCAGTATTGCAATCTTGACTGCGTCTGGTAGTGATGTGCCGTTGTCTTGTTCGTACCTGGAGAGTTGAAACTCCCATGTTGTGAAGCTCTCTTCGAACTTCTGTTCATCAAGTTGTGGTTTCAGTAACCTTGTTAGGTACCCAATGCTTCGCGTGCCAAGTGGTATGGAGTATCTTGCATGTATCAGCCGCCATGTTTCAATTCCGTTGCCTTGCATGTTTTGCCTGCAAATTGTAGATGCTGGTCCATCGCACGTGCTCACCAAAGATATAGTATAGATTGTTGCTCGTTTGTACCCATTGTTCTGCTACTGCTTGTGAAGGTGCTGCGTTCTCAAGTTGGTCACTTGTAACTTGTCCTGTTGATTGCTCTGACTGTTTCAACAGTCTGTTGTATGCTGGGTCTTGTAATCCCAAGTATGCTGTCATCTTGTACTTCCATTCTTCGAAGGTGTTGTATTCCCCTGTGAACCGTGGTGGTGATATCTTGTATCTGTGGATTCCTTCCAACTGCTGTTGTTCCTGTTGCTGCTGTTGTTGTGACATGTTGCTCACTACTGTGTACCTGAACCTGTGGGTGTGTGATGGAGCTCACCCTGGGTTGTGGTCGGGGATCGTGTACCAGGGATCACCGCTCCGCTACCATGTTAAAGTGGAACTGACTGTGTAAACACCTGATGACCTAAATGTGTCAAACCTGTGATGTGACAGCTCGGCACTTGTTGTCTCGATGGGCGAGGGCTGTAGCTCCTATGATGTACATATGCTCAAGGCCTTGATTGTACAAGCAGCAATTATATTTGTCGCAGGGTCCCGTCCAGACCCAGTCTGGCAACCAATCAAAAGGGGAAGGGGCAACAGGTATATTTTGCCGATACATTCCCGAACGGGTATCTCTCAAGCTAGAAAACCTTGCGACGGAGCCAACATGTCAGCTCTTTGAACTTTGAATGTGGATCGTTTCTCACACCATGTCCCGGTCCAGAACGAATGCCCACGCCCGCCAGTATCGAAGGAACCTGCGTGGTGCCTATTGCTTCGAGCAGGCGGTGGAGGACTTTTGCAAGGCAAAAGGGATTCAGTTGGCGCGCGAAGAAATGAAGCGGCTGAGAAACGAGTGTGAGCTCAGTGTGTTATTGCTGTAATGCCTGTTTTGGTTTGTGCTGATAGAAACGTTCACGGCTCACGAAATGTTTTGTGCCCGCTTCGTTCAGGGTCCAGAAAAGGGTGATCAGCATGATCACCTGCCGACCAGGCGCACAACCTGCCGCAGTGGCGGGACTACTTTTCATTCTTCTTTCTGGCCAATGCAACCCGGAGCAAAAAAGCGACCTTGGTTTTCTTTGTTCTTTGATTGTTTAGGCGGTGAAGGTGCCGGATGCCACCCGGACCAACGCCTTCTACGGGATATTTACCCACACCAAGGCAACGTGCCTTCGTGGGCAGCAAGGGGAACGCGGGGTGCAACTGGACCCCTTTTAGCAGCAATTGGAGCACCTTGGAAACAGCCCTTTCAAATTTCACACAATGACTTAACATTTCGGGCTTTTGAGGATTTTAGTGTCGATTCTCGAGTGAGCTATGGGCAGGGTACAGCATGGTACAGGGCGGCCACATCCTGCAGCCATCCTCGGTTGTCCAATGGACATGTTGACAGTGCGCGCTGCCAGCAAATTCCTGCAGCACTAGGGCTCAGCGCGCGCGGGGCAGGTTCTGGGACACGGACACTTTAGATCGGCGTCGGCAAGTGGCTAGGCCTTGAGCTTGAAGCTGAGGTAAAAAGGATTGCTAGTCCTGTATTGCGTGTTGCTTCTCCCAATCCGGCCAAGCGTGCAGATGGAGGATGCCTCAGGCAGGAGTGCAGGGCATTCCTGAATGAGCAGGCAAAAGCCACAACAATATCGAAGCATGACAGAAAGACACCTGCAAGCATAATGGACGCATAATTTCTGGAGAATGATGAGTGGCGCGAGGGTTCTGATTGACCGTGAACGACAGTGGCGCTAGAGAATTAGAACATCGACCTTGGAGCACATTGTTGTGCTGAGCAGCCGGGCTTGGTTGTGTTGGTTTTGCCCCTCAAAACAGCGGCGACATTCACGGCACCAGGGTGGGGTTTCAACTTGTGAGTTCAACGAGGCACCGAAGGCGCAAAAGCGCATGCGCTGGAGGCCTCAATGGGCGCTCAGAACATCCGAAAGCCTCAGAAGCTTCAACAGCTTTGCACACAACATCCGAAATCGGCCAGGAAATCAGCACACCCAGTAGGCATCCCCGTTCCAGATCCGACCTTTCCACGTCGGCCTTCGCTTTCTCGAAGGCCAAGCTCAGGGTCGTGTCTTTCTCGCAGAGGCTGTGTTCCAGGCGGAACATGCGGGAAGCAATGTGTACGATGAATGACACAATGACCCTCAGGGTTTGGACAATTTTTGGGGAGTTGTGCAGTATATGTTCTTTTTTGTATTGGCAAACAAGTCTTCAGCACTGGCAACGGCAGTAGCTTGGGACGTCAGTCATCGATGTTCTATTGTTTCGGAGGGGGAGAGGGACGTCTTTAGTTGGGACAGTTGGCCAAACCTTGGTGCCTTCAAGTGGTAAGTTGGGCAATAATTGCGAGGCTGTTTTTGCATGCAAGTGTTTGGTCCAGTCAGTGTTTTGATTGTTTTCACGCCAACCTCTTTCGTGTACAGGTTTTCTAAGTGTTGTTTAATTAGTAGTTGATCAATCCACTCATAATGTAACCAACAAAAAATCTGCTTCAAAGTAACATTCCATTCTAGACAGATTGAATGACAAAGCATGGTCGGGCAGAGCCTAGTGACATTAAATATCAAATCAACGGTCGACCGAGCGCTGCAGCAACGTGAGGCAATTTTCATGCATGCGAAGACAATGTTATTTTAAAAGTGGGCCTCAACAAATGTACATTAAGCTTCCACAAACCAATCTCATCATCATCATCATCATGATTTTGATGATACTCATCACTACGCATCCTCAGCATCACCAGCAGTTAACGTCGTCACTATGCATCCCCAGCATCAGCAGCAGTTATCATGACAATCATGACAACGCATGCTCTGCATTTCCAGTCGGGTCTAACGGCGCACTTGAATCGTATATGAAAAAGAAGAGCGCCACGGTTTTGATGATGAACATCATGCAGAACATGATGATGCAAATGATGATGGTGATGATGATGATGAACATGATGATGATGATGAACTTGATGATGATTAAGATGATGAGATGATGATGTACATGATGATAATGATGATGATGATGATGAATCATCATTTTCATCATCATCATCATCATCATCATCATTATCATTCTCATCATCATTTTCATCATGTTCATCCTCATCATCATCATCATCTTTATCATCATCATGTTCATCATCATCATCCTAATGATAAGCATCACCACGCGTCCTCAGCATCACCAGCAGTTAACGTCATCACTCTGCTTCCCCAGCATCAGCAGCAGTTATCATGACAATCATGACAACACATCCTGGTCTAACGGCACACTTGAAACGTACATGAAAAAGAAGAGCGCCACGGTTTTGATGATGAACATGATGAGGAACATTATGATGCAAATGATGATGATGATGAACACGATGAACATGATGATGATGATGAACATGATGATGAGGATGAAGATGGTGATGATGATGAATATGATGATGAACATGATGATGATGATGAACATGATGAACACCACCATCATCACCTTCATTTCATCACCATGTTCATCATTTTCATCATCATGTTCACCATCATCGGCATCTTTTCCATCATGTTCAGCATGTTCATCATCATTTTCATCATCATCATCATTTTCATCATCATGTTGGTCATCAGCATCATCATGTTCACTTCTTCCAGTCTGATTTGTGCAAGCAGACACATTTGAGAATCATAGCAGCATTCAGCTAGACTGGACAGCACGCTGCAAGAATCCAGCAACACACAGCATAATTAGAAACTGTTGAATTTGCAATGCGTCTTTAAGCGTGTCTTCCACCTGGAAGTTGGCAAAGGACAAGTAAAGCAGGGGCATCACTTCCAAATTGGGGAGCCCGTGCGGCGAAGATTGACACACACACACACACACTGACACCCATACCGACCTGAAACAAGACAAAAGGAGCAAATACAGAAACACAACATCCTGGTGAAACAGACAGTGGCTGCCAGAGTGTGAAGGAAAGAGAACAATTGCCCCCCCCCCCGGCCCTGGCAACTTGTACTCAAGCAGTACCGAACGAACACGAACCAATACAAGCAATACACACTAAATACACGACCGACACCAAAGTAGCAACGCGCAGCCAAATGCAATATGACATTTTTCACTAGACCAGTCACTCGCAAATCTTCCAGGGGTGGCGCAGGCAAGCTGCCTGAATCATGTTGAAGGGTAGGAAAGAGAAAAAGCGCCCCACACACGAGCCATAATGAACCAATACAAAGCCAGCGCAGAACTGACAAATTCCAGCAAGCCCAACAAATACTCAGTCAGTTCTAAGCCATCAAAGGTGACTGGGATGGACTGAGTCCCCAAACATTCAAATTCTAAATGGCATCCTCTACTAGAACAGTCACTGTCGCCCAAGCAAAAGTCTTGAGCAGAAAAAACAAGGCTGTGTGGGTAGACGGATGAGCGAGGGAAGCTTCTTGGCCAATTCCCTCACCTTCTAAGATCCTGGTGCTTCAAAGGGCTTTCTTCAGGTTCTGCGCATTGGGTGGAAGCGTGGTTCTTGGATAGTGGAGTCCGTGGAGTTGAAAGACTTAGACAAAGCCAAATGCCAGCCCGGACGAGGAAACAGTAAAGTAGCTACAGATTGGGATTGCGTGATAACCCCAACACTCAGACAGATTTTCGTGCTCCGCGCGCCGGCCTCGCATGTCGGGCTGGATGGATGGACTCGAGAGGGAGGGATGGATGGATGGATGGATGGATGGATGGATGGATGGATGGATGGGATGCGGTGAGTGGGTGGATTGGTGGATGGATGGGTGGATGGGTGGGTGCGTGGGATGCATGTATCATTGAGGAATGGGCACGCACAGCCACCTACTCGCCAACGCACCCACACCCACCTACCCACCCACACACACACACACACACCCGCCCGCCCACCCACCCACCCACACCCACCCACCCACCCACCCACCCACCCACCCACACAGGGGCTTCTGAAAGCGTTGGCTGGAGGCGCAGGCGCTGCAAGAAGAAGTGCAGAAGGCGCCAGAAGCGCCGAAACGACGGAGCAGGCCTCCGGGCAGCAAGAATGCAGCCGGGTTGCTGCATATTTGCAGTGCTTTGAGCCTTCCCTCAACTCGAGCTCCAGTGGCCGCGCGGGAGGTGATGATGTGTTAAAGGCGCTAGGAATGCAGTCTTTTTTGGAAGGCGAAGCCTAGGCACGTGCTCCTTTGAGCGACATAGCATGGCGTCGCGATACAGCCGCTCACCGAGAACCCAGCCATCAGGACCATTCCTGCACCCACCCACCCGCCTACTGCCAGTCGATAATTTTAAGAATTTATGATTTATTTTACGATACTGAGGTTTTAAGACTTGAAGGGTTTTAAGATTTCAAGCCAGGCCATGCTCAATCCAATTTCCACCCAGCTTAAGTTTTTAAAGTTTTAGTATTGAAGATTTTTGGAATTTAAGATTTTAACATCGCAAGATTTCAATATTCCAATACTATCAGAATTTAAGAGTTTAAAGATTTGACAATTTGAGGAAAATAAGATGTCTAGAGTTCAGGATGTACGAGTTGTTCCAGCTATTCCATGTTCCATCCGGGTTCCATCCTTCCAAAACAACTCCATGACAACATTTGCATCAATAATTTGCATCCTTTTGCAATCCTTCTGCCATCCTGCCAGGAACTTTCCATCAATTGCCCATACATTTTCCATCCATCCCGTTTCCCTCCATTTTCCGCATTTTGTTCATCAATGCCCCCCTTCATTTCCATTCTTGGTCATTTGCCAGCAATTTTCCATGAATTTCCCAGCCAACACCTGCACATTTTCCATCAATTTCCAGTTTCCACACATGTTCCATCAATTTTGCATCCTTTTTGTCCACCCTTTTCCAATTCATTCCATCCGTCCATTTTCCATGAATCCTCCATCCGTTTTCCACGAATTTTCTCCAAAGGTTCCATCCACATTTCCCGTCCCTTCGCCGGCATGGACAACATCCCCAGCATCCCGCATCACCGGCATCATCCGCATCAGTGTCTGCCAGGTGAAGCTGGGGATGTTGTCCACTATGTGCACCCCCCAAAAAAACGCTCGTTAATTTGAATCCGCGGGGACTTCGATTCTTATTAGTGCGGGAGCAGGGACGTTGCGGCGCAAAAGTTCGGTGCTGGGTCGGCGGCAGGGGGCGCCAGCCCTTGCACCTGCTCCGGCCCAAGCCTTCGCGCGACACAGCCGGCCACCGGGCACCTTGCCCTTTTCGTTCTATCATTTCCTTTTCCTTTGGTTCCCGTTAGTTCCCGGGATTTGAACTTCACTTTCTTTGCGTGTCTTCCCTGCATGTCCGAGAGTTTCCTGGCATTTCCATTCATTCGTTTCATTTCCGTGTCAGCTCTCTTCATTTCCTTGAACGCCCCTTTTCCTGCACATCCCTTCATTTTTCTTCAGTAGTTTCTCTTCGTTTCCCATAATTTCCAACAATATCTCTTCGTTCCATCCTCCGGTTCCCTTCGCGTTCTGCCCTTGCATTTTCCTGCATTTTGGTTTCTCTCCAGCGCCCTCTTCATTTTCGTGCAGTTCCTTTCACTTCCATTTCGTTCACTTCCAGTCAGTCCTGTTTCCTTGCATTCCCCTTTCGCTTTCTGCAATTTTCAGCCCCTTGTTTCGCATCGAAACATGGATAGCATCATCTGCATCATCCGGGATGATGCTGGCAGTGCTGGGGGTGTTGTTCAGTATCAGGCACCCCCCAAAAACCATCGTTTTTGGACGGCGGGGAGATGTAGCTTGAAATCGCCTGAACCACGCATGGTCGGAGCAAGGGGCTGCCGCCCGGCGCCGCCGACCCCGACTAGGTCCGGCTTTTTCCCCACCAGCTGGCTGGTCCGACTGGATGACGATGAGGAGGCTGGTGATGATGAATCTATATTATATCCAAAAGATAAGGACGACCACGAAGAAGAGGATGATGAGGAGCATCATGATGATGATGCTGATGATGATGATGAATCTATATGCCAGCAGCCATGATGATAATCATGTCCGCGCATCTTTTGCATCTCAAATCAGATGGGAATCACCACTATACATCCTCAGCATCGCCGTCAGTCATGATGATAATCATGACTACGCATCTTCTGCGTCTCCTGCCGGGTCTAACGGGGCAATTGAATTTTTTTCAAGAAGATAAGGACGATGACGAAGTGCATGGATATGACACTTACCACTATGAACCTCAGTATCACCAGCAGTCATGATGATAATCATGGCCAGGCATCTCAAATCGGATGACAATCATCACTTTGCATTGACAACGCATGTTTTGCGTCTCAAATCGGATGATAATCACCGCTTCGCATGCTGATAATCATGACTACGCATTTTCTGCATTTCCAATCCAGTCTATAACAGGACACTTCAAACGCGTATCAAAAAGATAAGGACGATGACGAAGATGATGATGATGAGCAGCATGATTACGATGATGCTGATGATGACGAGTCAAGAGGACAATCATCACCATTCATACTCAGCATCACCAGCAGTCATGATGTTAATCATGTCCACGCATCTTGTGCGTCTCGAATCAGATGAGAATCATCACTATGCATTCTCAGCATCGCCAACAGTCATGATGATAATCATGACTACGCATCTTCTGCGTCTCCAGCCAGGTCTAACGGGGCAATTGGAACTTTTTCAAGAAGATAAGGACGATGACAAAGAAGATGGTCATGATGAGCACCATGATGATGATGCTGATGAGAATGAATGGATATGACACTTATCGCTACGCATCCTCAGTATCACCAGCAGTCATGATGATAATGTTCACGCATCTTTTGCATCTCAAATCAGATGATACTTGCAGACAAAGTGTCGGCGGACGTGGGCGCTAGACACCTCAAATACCAAGGAGGTGTACCGCCATGGATCAAACGCGTTATTTTTCTCTATGTTCTACGGATTTTGTGTAAACCAACGGGTCATGTGCCAAAGATTTGAAAGAGATGTGGGCGTGAACCCGAATGCGGGACATGATTTGGGCGGGGTTCCATGTCCACCAACGACTTTTGAGGTGGTTTTGTTGATGCGTAATTGACAGACCCCTGTGCTCTCTCTATGTGTTGTGCTCGGCTGACAGTCTTGGTAGGTAATGGATTGCATGTTCACTACGCAACCTCAGCACCTCTTGCAGGAACGATGCCGAGCATGGGAGATGGGGTCATATATAGATAGATGTTAGTTGCCACGTACTTGGCTTGCGCACCATGTCTCCCACTGCGAGAATTGGGGTTGCCTGATTTCGATTGATGATGCTGATAGATGATCATGATGATGATGATGATGGACGGATGACGATGAGGAGGATGATGTATCACTACGCATCCCCAGCATCTCTTGCAGGAACGATGCCGAGCATGGGGCATGGGGTCGTATATCGATAAGTGTTAGATGCCATGTAATTGACTTGCGCCCCATGTTTGCCACTACGAAATTTGGGCTGCCTGTTTTCGATTGCAAAATCCCTAGCCAAAGTCAGTGCATTGTTGCTCATGTGTGAGATGTTGATGATGGTGATGATGATGATGATGCTGATGATGATGGTGATGATGATGATGACGATGCTGATTTCTATTACAAAACCTCGACCAAAACCAGTGCATTGTTGCTCATGTGTGAGATGATGATGATGATGATGATGATGATGATGATGATGATGATGCCGATGATGGTGATGATGATGAGTATGATGATGGATGGGCATGATGATGATGAAGATGATGCAGATGAGGATGGATGACGAGGAGGAGGATGATGATGATGATGATGACGCCCTTCCCATGCGCCTCGCCCTTGTCGGCGGATAACGGGATGCGCAGTTTATTATTGCTTTGGCAGTGCTTTGCAAAGCAATAATGAGAACCTAGCTTCCACAAGACCGTTTCAAGGAGTGCAGAATGCCTGCGGATCAACGTCGTACCTCGAAACATGTTATGCTGCGGGATGTTTCTGTCCTGCCAACATATTAGAAAGCTGGCTTGCCAGTGTGGCACAAACACCTGTCACGAACCGGGCTTTTTGGACGGGAGTTGTGCATTCTTTTTGGTACCTCGAAGTTGCGGTTTTGAGTGCCTCCAAGTTGTGTGTTGCGTTCTGCATGTGCAAAACAAATGTGCTTCCACGAGTGTACCTATGTTGACGTCAATGTGGTGGGAGTGAACACAGAAGCGGCGACAGTTTTTGGTTCTCTATGTTCATTGCGCCGCAACCTCACATTTGTTTTGCGAGTAGCCTTCATTATTTCACGCGCACTTTGGCGAGTGCGCCCCATGACTTCCCGTTCACAGCAGTTGCTGTGGATTGTGATTTCAATTTTCCTTGACTGCGCCAGGCCTGCCTCACGTATGCTCATGTCAGCTGCGTTGAGGCGGGAGGTCCGAAAGCGAGCTGATGGCTCACGCAGGGCAGTTGCTTCCGCGCAGGTGACAAAACGCGCATTTGCATGCGTACCGCAAGCGCACACGTGCGTACGCCCGTACGTGAATTCTATGCGTATCTCACGCACCCGTTCGGAGAGATCAATCACTATGCCGATGGTCCGCTGCATCTTCAGCATGTTTTTGCCTGCTGCTTAAGTAAAGTAGTTTGATTACCACGGAAACCTGAGTGCTGCCAATAGTGGGGTATGTTCGCACATGCCACTGATGAATACAATGAGTGTCAAGCCAACAGGAACTCAGCATCCTTGCCCGTGCAGGTTCAAGGGCTATTGTTTGGCGACGTGGAGGAGGTCTGAATGCATTCAAACCCAAACATGTATTATCTTAGAGGTGGATGGTTCTTCTTGGAGCCGACCAGATGTGACCGCCAGATCCTGAGCGCAGTGACTGCAAGGCGGACCTGCCAAAAAATTGAACGCGCCAGATCTGGGGCATGCAGAATCGCCTCACCGCAAACAGTCGCCTCCTTAGCATCCCCCCACACTGTGCCCCACATGGCCTGACGTGGCCCACGCTTGAGTCGCTTGAGTTGCTTGAGTCAGGTGGGGAATTCTTGGAGCTGCCAGCCGAAGAGCACCTCCTGCAATTTGGAGCCCACGCTCGTTTCGGGCTTGCAATTTTACTGGACCTCATTGGTAGACATGCGCAAAAGGCGTCGTTTTTGTCTCGCAGTTCGCGCCTTCTTGCGGCTTGCTATGGAGGATTAGATGTCTTGGAGACTCAGGGAAGGGCTGCCAAAACAGGTTTTGAGTGGCTGTGTTCTGCGAGACGCAGTCAAGATTAGCTGTGAACGTTGGTCATTTGGTTGTCACTCGACAAGCGATCACTTGTAGAAGTCTGATTCAGGGATCTAGTCGTGATACCGCAGGTGTGGTCTAATGCTGAGTATGTTTCCACTGGTGTGATGTTATGATGGTATTCGGGGAAATGTTAGCAGTATGTTGCCAGGGTGTTTGGAGCACAATTAGATGAAAAGCTGAAGCGATCTGGACTATTGCCACAGAGCCGTAGCTTACTGCTAACAAGACCAGGGAAAGAAGTGCAATGTCTCCAAACTTGATTGAATCGCAGGGTTGAGGAGAACAAACAGCGGCAGGAATGCCTTTTCCCGGCATTCGGCCAGGCTGGTTTTCGCGCAGCAGGAGGCCGAGGATCGACTGGAGTTTCACAAGAGCCAGCGTAGCTATTGAGTTCTCCTTTTTGCAATTCAGGGGGCTGGTCCGGCGTCACAGATGGATTTTTCAAGCATTGATTTAAATTGATTCTCAAAATATCTTGTTTACTGCCCCCCCCCCGCCCGGGAGGGGTGAACGGTTTCGATTGCCCCCCTGGTCCCCCCTCACCAACCCGCGCCGCCAGCACGTTCCCAAAATTTCGTCCACATGTTTGTGATAGCTTGGGGTTCGGAAATATTTTTCATCAGGGGTCTCAGTGACTTTCTCGGTGCTCATTCAAGCTTGTTTTTCTCAATATTCTGGCAACCACTGAGTTGTTCATGATGTTGTTGGGATAGTTTTGCGGGTCGTTCACCCGCTTCTCAGCCGGGATCAAAATGTCTTGGAAAATACTGTGAAGGACCATAACATTGCAGGCGTTTATACCCACCAAAGGTCCGTGAAGGAGCCAGCGAAAGAGTTTGTCTTTGAGCGAAGATTTGGATCCTTGATTCCGCGCCTATTGGAGCAAGTGACCCACGAAAGACCGGCGAATGCTCATGGAGCCTGTTGCAAGGTTTTGCACATTGGGCGCCGGACTTGGCAACCCGAAGAGGGCGCGCATTTTCTAGTGAAGGCCGTTGTCGCCGGGTGATAGCTATAGTCAGCTGGCGTGGGTGCTGCGCTCACAATCGTCGCTGCAGCAGCAATCCAAGGGCTGCCGCTCAGTGAGGCCGACCCCAGATAGCAGACGTGGAGAAGGATTCCATGTGAACACCGCCGCCGTCCCATAATTGCAGGATCTTGTCCACGCAGGATCCTGCATGGACAGGGCGATGATGATGATGATGATGATGATGGTGATGATGATGATGATGGTGACAAACAAAAGACGAGGACCGCGATGGTGATGCTGATGATGAGCGCCCTCATAATGATGACGATGATCACGCTGATGATGAACCGTCACTAGACAACAGGTAAGGATGACGATTGTGATGCATGATGATGCTGATGCTGATGATGATGAATCATCACTACGCACCCCCAAAATCACCAGCAGGGATGTTATCGCTACTCACCCCGATGATAGTCACAGGCATGATGATAGTCACAGGCATGATGATAATCATTGCGATTCTTTGGAGTGGCAGTGAGCTGAGAAGCGGGTGTGGCTCAAAATTAAACCAGACGGGTTACGCAGGTTTTGGTCCATGTTTCCACTTACCAGGGTTCCAGGCTTTTTGAGCCACAGCCAAGTGGCCGACACCGCATGTTTAAATCTCAAGCTCTTAATTTAAAAAAATATCTCCAGTCTGCCAAGGGTGGACCCAGCTGGCAGCTGGCCCTGTTGTTTGCTCAGGGCTGCGCCTGGCCACTTCTCTGCGTCTGATTGGACACTTGGTGGCGGAAGGCGGCACAGGCCATGTGAGAAGAGTGCGGTGCTTGCCTGAGAAGGACTTTCGCGTTGTGGCTGCGGTTATCGTTGTTGCGCTGGCGGGGCTGGCTTGGAAGTGGCAACGAGTTGAACAGGCCCTGGTGGACCGCGAGGGGAATTTGTCACCAGAACGTGAATCGCACGCAAGGCTGGCTGATCTTGCTCGGCTTCGACTGGCTGATCAGTGCAGCTGAGGCGTCGTGCTCACCGCTCGCATAGCGCTGCTTGAGTTTGCGCGCCTGGGCCCGGCGGAGGTGTATAGGCGGCGGCGCACCAGGCTGAGGCGCTTGAAGTTGTAGCAGCAGGGGCTGCTCTGCGGCATGGCGCAGCGGGCGGCGCGCGATGTTTGTAGCTGGGGTCAGGGGCTGGTGGCAGCTGACAGCCCTGGCGATTTCAAGCACGATCAGGGCTGTAAGATCAGGCCCCCGTACCACCAAGTGGCGCTTGAATTACTTCACGAGCGGTTCCGGATCTGCAAGCTGGGGGGTTCAGGAACACTTTCAACTGTTTGGTGATGGGCCAGCTGTTCGCACCAAGTAGCAGGGCCAGCGGGCTCATGCTCAGATGCGTCCCGACCATTGAGAAGGAAGAACAGCGAGAAGGCTCGATAGAAGGAGGGTAAGTCTGTCGGCGGCAAGCTGTCCCTCGAAGGAGTGTCAGAAGCCTAGCGAGACAAGCTGGAACACTGATGATTTGCACCGATAAGCAGGAGGCTGTGAGAACTGCAGAAGAACATGGGGAGTCTTCAGCGACAGAGGGCCTGACGGCAGGAGCATATTGAGCAGGCAGCGAACAAGACAATTTCCGAAGCAATGTTCAGCCGCTCACTGGGCCCTCTTGCGCATACAGAATTCAGTTTGCGTGCTTGGGCCACCTCTGGCCGACCTTTCTGGCTCGCTGAGAGGAGTGCGTGTGAAGCTTCACAGACTGGCTCTGGGCTTTTGCAAAGCCAGCAGCAGGGGCATGTGCCAACGCTCTGGATCAAAGCATGTTGGCTTGGTGGTTTCTAGTGATCCTTGCCGAAGAAAATTCGTTTGGCCGAGCCTTACCCCTTGCACATCTGCAACGCTATCTATGATGCTCAAGTCTTGAATGGTTGTAGAAAGCCGGCCAATTCGGGGGAGCCCAAAAATCGTCGCACCTTTTTTCCAGCCTGCGCGAGTTTTGAAGGAAAACGATTGTTTTGACAATTGTTTCTACAAAGAACGATTGTTTTGAGAATTGTTCAAAAATTGTTGACAATTATTTTGACAATTGTTTCTGCAAAGAACGATTGTTTTGACAATTGTTCAAAAGTTGTTGAACATTGTTTTGACGATTGTTTTGAAAAACACTTGTTTTGACAATTGTTCAAAAGTTGTTGAAAATTGTCTTAACAGTTTTTTTGAAAAAGCGATTGTTTTGACAATTGTTCAAAAATTGTTGACAATCGTCTTGACAATTGTTTCTGCAAAGAACGACTGTTTTGACAGTTGTTCCAAAGTTGTTGAAAATTGTTTTGACGATTGTTTTTGAAAAAACAATTGTTTTGACAATTGTTTAACTGCTGAACAATACAATTGTTGAACGGCTGCTAAACAGCACCTTGACTTCCTTGAGTTAACGACGATATCTTTGCCAGCTGCCTAAAATTCATTGAATCCATTGAATATCTCAACAAAAAGCTGTTGGCAACTGCGGAAAAGTCGTCGAAATCCTTAGGGCATTTGTCGTCCAAAAAGAAATGTTTGCACAGACCTGAAACAAGTGGTTCGGCGCTTGACAATTGCGTTCAAACGACGTGGCTGCTCCATTCGCTCAAAGATATTCAGTAGCACAGCTGAAACAGGTTCCCACTCACATGAATCACTTTTGTTATTTTCATTGATCTTAGTCTTATCATAAGACGAGACAAACGCTTGATGAGACATCTCTCATCTCTGCACCTAGAAACCCACAGGCCGTTGACACAGGATTCAAACTTTTGACAGAGTGCGCGAGATGCTTTCGGCTCTTGGCCCCAGTTCTGCAAACATGCTAGGCCAGCGTTCGGCGTTGGTTTGACGGGGGGCCAGCGGCGCTTGTCTTGAGGCTTGTCTATTAGCGGCCGGCGCGCGGGAAGACATGGGCCATAACTGGGCCATCAAGATCCTAGCCTAGCCTAAGGCGTGGCGCGAGCAAAGCCTAAGTTGCTAAGGTCCTAAGGTTACAAAGTCGAAATGCAGAAAAAAAGCGGCCCCATCTGGACAACGTGGGCCAAAGCCAAGGAGGGCCAAGAAAGACAGCTGGAAAGCCAGTAGCAAGCCAAAACAAACGAACCGCAAAGCAGCAGCCGCAGTGTAACAAGCCAGCCCGACTCACAGAAAGCAGCGCGGCAAAGTCTTTTTTTCTCCCTCGCTCGTGCTGAGTCTTACCCTACCCGCGCTTCGTCCACGGAGCCTCCCCCAATCAGAGCTTACAACCTAGCCAGAGGCCGCTCATGGCTTTCTGCACTGCAGTAGCTTTGCAGCCTCCAAAGCCTTCCGCACTCATGTGTTTTCTTGATCCAAACCGCTGCCAGCGCGGCCTGCAAAATGGCCAGAACAACTGGCAAAGCCATCGCGTTGCCCGCCAAGTCTTGCAGGAAGCGCTCCGAAGGGTTGATGCTGCGGCCGTGCTTTGTGTTTGCCTTCTGCTGCTGCTCGTCTTCGGCCAGCGCCGCAAAATCGCTGGGCTGGGAAGCCTTGTAAGAGCAGCGCCTCCCGGCCAAGCAACAGCCGGGGCGACGGCAGCAAGTCAATCCACATGAGCTGGCCAGGGAGCAGCGTAGGTGCCACATGCTTCCCAGAAGGCCTCAACGTCGCGCTGTGCGCCCTTGCGACGCTTTGGCTGAGATTTCGGAAGCCAGCGTCCATGACCCTGGAAAGCAGCAACGCGTCTTTCTCGGTGGCCAGCGTGCCGAACCAAGGATTGTCTTGCAGCCCCTTGGGAGGAGGCGTGCCCCATCGAACGCCCAGAACTTGGTGTGCTGCTCAACCCAGTTCCCAGCGTTCGCAGGCTTGCGCAAGCTGCCTCTGCACGCTCCTGCCGCTCGGCCAAAAAGGAAGCCACCGGGCTCGACAAGCTCTCGTCCAAGCCAGCATCCTCGGCGGCGTCTTCGGGCAGCAGCCCGCCAAAGAAACACAGGGCGCGGAGCCCACGCAGGAGGCCAGAAGGCGCTTGAACTCGCTGAAAACCGCGCTCAGAGAGCGCCGCTGAAAGCAGAGCTTTGGGCTGGCTCCCCGGATGAAGAATGCACAGCCGTCGCCGCCGGCGCAGACCAAACTCTTGGGCGTCCGTCATGAGCTTCTGCCCTGCGTAGCCGAGGGCGGCCATGGACTTCAGCAGAATGTCGCAGTTGGTCTCTGTGGGGGCGGAGACTTTGTCGTCGATCGAGTCGACGTTCTCGTAGATGAAGAGCATGGGCCGCTGCTTGCCAACGTAGGCCAGGAGGCCCTTGAACGTTTGCGCTGAGCCGCGCAATTCGCCTTGCTTAGGTCCTCGCAAGACGTTCCAACAATCAAGAGGTCCACGCACGGGACGGCGCATTCCTGATTGTGTG